AAGAGTGGCTGTTTACAATGACTTTCATCGCCCTCTGAGACAAAGGACTTGGTAGTTGTGTATACTCTTTCAGAGATGCCATAACTGGAGTTTGTATAACAATACCCTATGCTATACCTTGTCAATGAAATATCCATGTGTTTATCTCCAGTTAGATTCTTTTTGATAAAAACATATTGCTTTTGTCAAAGGATCTCCAAAAAGCAAGGTGTCGATAGAAATATATCAAACGAAATTAAAACATTGTGAAAGCAATGGTCACTGCAATAGATGTTAGGAAATATTCCTTGTAATAGTTTTTCTCCTTTCTTTCCTTTTCTCTACTTCTATTCCACCAAAACCTGACTTAATTTAATTCAAATATCTTGTGATTCACTTTAATCATGTCTTAGACAGCCATGGCTCAGTTACTATCTCCTTTTCATATTGAATCTTCTGATTCTATTACACTTTATTAACTGTAGCCACTTATTAGAGATCAGCAGCCAAGCTCCAGATAAACAGCTACCTCTTTCTCTGTTTGACTATTTAATTAAGCTATGACTAAAAATACACAGCTCACCAATAATCTGATCTCCAGTGACTGTCTTCACATTGTCTAATTGTTTGAATTTGGGTGAAAATTTCTGCCTCGCATGTAATTAACCACAGCTATATAACCCTAAACACAAAGTAGCCAAGTATCATTTGGCTATTTTCATTCTATCACTGATGTGTACTTCAATCTATATTATTAAAGGAGATCTGATTTTCTGTCCATCACGCACTGTCTGCATATGACTTTGCATGTGCATATATAATGTAAATGTGTTGTGCATGAGAAACTTTGTGGGGATAATAAAATAAATCAAAACCAATAAATAAAATAATGAATAAAAAAAAAAAAAATTAATTAATTTTCCCATGATGCAAGTTATAAAGAAATCAGAATAGGTTTCTGGCCACATGTGCAATTTTATGACCCCCACTTCCAGAAAGAAGAAAATCGTCTTCTTTCTCTTCTTGACTTCAAGATGTGAACCATGCAGTAATAGTGTTCCCATTGAGGAACATTAGTTTTTCCCAGTCCACTAATGACTGAACTCTTTTCAGTGTTGGATGTGTTTTAGCAGCCTTACTCATGAAGTAGAAGTTTGGTCTTCCTAACTCAGCATGAAGCTGACTTAAGCTCAACCAGCTTTACCCATTTGTACCCTCCTTACTTCCCACAAATTATTTCAGAACCAAACAGAAAAATGAACATATTTGGTCTTCTCAACTCAGCAAGAGTCTGACTTGAGTTCGGCCATGTTCATTCATTCTTATCCTTACTTGCCATAAATCATTTCAGAACCAAAAAGGAAAATGGACATACTTAAGAGACATTTAATTTTTTTAAATAGTCAACATACAAGGAATAAATATCCATAGCAGAAACACAAGTTCTTTTGTATGCTTCTTCTATCTCCTTTTTTAAATATTGAATACACACAAAACCCACAACTATGTTAACATCCACAACTTACACATGCTTGTCTCATTTAATGTGTATGAAATTCAGTCCTCAATGTATTTTTATTAAATATCCTAATGTCTGAATTCCAAACAATAATAAAATAAAGAAAATATGGGTATACCTGTTAAATAAAACATTTGTATTTACACATGCATACATTAATTCAAAAGAGTCAAAAACGAGTAAAAATAGACTTTAGTTGATTTAAAGTCTTTAAGTAGTTGCTCCATAGAAAAAGCTATGGTTTAGACAAGACTTTTATCCTTAGCAAAGATTCACCGATCATCTTTATTGTTGTTGGAAATGATTTGTTGACTAACTGGCTATGCTGTTGTTATAGCTGCTTTGTTTGAAATTACCAACACATTTCTTTCAGCATGCACTGGTGGAAAACAGTTTGGTATGTTTGTAATATTGTGAAAGTTGAAATCTGTGGGTTTCTATAAAAAAAATTTTCTCAAAAGTAGACTCAAGAAAAATAGTTTTAGTTTTATCTGACTGGTTAAATATTTCACATGGTTATGTTAAATTCTAACATGATAGTTTTATTTAAATGATGTGGGTTGTATTGTGGAATCTTTTTGGCATGTTTGTAATATTGCTTGTTATTGGGTGGAAAATAAAGTTTAGATGTGTTTTGATATATATATGTGGATATGTGATGAGGCATAGTGGAATAATAGATAGCGGCTCAGATTGAGGAATCGGAGAGCCAAGTTCAAATTCTAGTCGAATCCATTACATTCACTTACATGCTAATACCTTTGGGAAAAGTATGAATCCTCTTCTTCTCCCTCCAGCTATGGGTAAATAGCAGGACAGACCAGGTTCTATAGCCTTGGATGGTAACTGGTCTGCTGCAGAAAGAAATGGCAACCTACTGCAGGAAAAAATCTGCCTTGTCTGTCATCTATTGAAAGAAATATGATCACCTAGGCATGTATTACGCATGACACATAACTGACTGACCGATGTGAATATGTAATTGTTTTGGAAGTAGGGTTTTTTTTCCATAGTTGTATACACACACAATTCAATAAAATGAAGGCTGCAAGTATAGTCAACTTTGTGCTTCTAAAATGCACTCCCTGGATTATCTTAGAAGATAAAAATAAATATAATCTAAGTAAAAATAATCTGTTTAATTAGATTTTCTTAACACTGTACTGAATTTTTTCACTTTAAACATGAAAAATAGTAAGTTTTCTGAATTAAAAGAAGAGGAGAAAAAATATTAATAAAAAAGGGCTGGAATAGAAAAATCTGACAGTTTCCTGTTCCACTGTTTTCTGAATTAATATAAATAGAAAATTATTCAAATGTTTCTCTCACGGTCAGCTCTATGTCCAGTGTAGAAAATTCAAATGGACTTAATGACAAGAGAAACCTTAGAAAACAGATATCTTGCTGAAAATGTGGTTTATATAGAAATTTTAGAAGTAAGAGAACTTCTATAACAACTTACTTTTCTCTGTTCGTAGAATTGGTATTCACCTTGTTATATAAATAAATTGTGAAATTTCATTCACTTGACACTGCAGCTGTTCCTACTAAAACTTTAGATTACTCCCTAAATATATTGGTAAATTATTAATACTACATTAACTGTCACAATTATGATGTCTTATTTTGGCAATAACTAAACTTAATAGAAAATCATTCTTAAGTTTGGGGGTGTTGATGGTGCTTCTTTTTCTTCACTCATGTGTCTAGTCTTTTCTGGTCATAGGCGATCATAGCCCTCCACAACCTTTTCTGTTTTGTTACTCTAGGTAAGTTTTTATAGTGCCAATATTCAGAGAACTTAAAACGATTACTTGGATACTTATTTTAGTGTATCATTTTACTTGCAATTCAGTCATAAGAAAATCTACAGCATTCATAATATCTGATATTTCACATTAACACAAATTAGTTGAACAGAACTAAAAATCTTATTATGAAATTAGTTAAATAAGTGAAAATAATCTGTTCAATTTCAATTCTCCTAAAACTGTACCAAATAATAAAATAGAATTAATTATTAATATGAACATTAAAAAATTATTCAAATGTTTCTCTCATGGTCAGCTCTATGTAGCCATGTCCAGATTAGAAACATGCAAGTGGACTTAGCATAATGAAAAAAGAATTTTAGAAAATATATATCTTTCTAAAAATGTTTATATAGAAATTTTAGAGATGAGAGAATTTCTATGACAACTTACTTTTCACTGTTCTTGAACAGGTATTTGATTAGAATATAATAAAATAAAGTTATAATTTATTTTATTCATTACTGTCATTGATATAAATTTAATTGAACAGAATTATCTAAATAAAAAATAATCTGTTTGATTAGATTTTCTTAACAATGCACTGGAGTTTTTCACTTTAAACAACCTTTGAGTGAAATAATAATAATAATAATATATAATTCAAACGTTATTATAGTGGATACTTAAATTGAACTTTTATTTACATTTTTTTCCTCAACAGGAGTAGATAGGTTTGCCTATCATCTACTTCATACTTCTCCCCATTCTTTTAAACAGGAGCAGAGGTTTATCACTTGTTTCCTGTTTAGGATTGCATTTCTGGTTCCCTCGAAAGTTTTTTCTTTCTCTTTCACTTCCAGTTGCCCCTTGCATCTTGGTCGCATTATCACCTTGTTTGGGTGGTACCTCTTATTATGTAAACCTATACATTGAATGGCTCTTGGGCCTTGTCTAGGGTGAACATCATTGTAAAAAAATTTTTTTTTTTTAGCAAAATTTTACACATCCTAGATAGATAGATAGATAGATAGATAGATAGATAGATAGATAGATAGATAGATAGATAGATAGATAGATTCTTTTTCCTTTCAAGTCAATTTAATGACCAGGATTTTTCAGGAATCCTGTCTCCAGCCCGCATTTGAATTGGCAAAAATAAAATTTTGTTAGTGATTTCAGATAATCATAAAAGTAGAGTCCTTTGAAAAACTGACCACCCAACCTGAACACCATCCTGAACACATATGGATGGATAGGGATGGGGGACCCCAGACAGTATCCATATAATCAGGAAGTCAGCAGTGTGAAAAGAACCAGCAGTGAGTAAGTCAGCAGTCACCAAGACGGTTAGGCACCAAGTATAAGGGTCCTTTTTCCATGGTCAGAAGTTAGTAAGATAGCAAAATTGAAGGAAGATATTGCCAATTAAATGAGAAATCGTATTGTTTGCTATTTCACAACCAGTGTCTTGAAAATCACTTATCGTTCGTTATTCTTTGTTCAATTCAATCATGACCAATGAGACAAACCTGTGAATATAGTGAGCCAGGTGTATATGCATACAGCTGACCCTGGATGTCATCATAGTTTGTGCAGTGATGTGCAGAAGCTCATCGTCACATATGATATATCCACTATAATAACATTTTAGAAAAAAAAGTGCATTAAACATGTATACAAGTGAAACAATTATTATAAAACAGTATTATTATTAGTAGTATTAATATGAAATATTTTCTCTTTTCTAGATCTACGTCCATCTGATTGTTATGAATCCCACTCTTCAAGAACCGAGCAACTCCATGGGAAAATGGGGCAACAAAGGTTTTTTTGCCCTGAGCTTACAGCAACTACATCTAGGTGCACGACAACACCCCATATTGGTCATGTTCCAGACTGCACCCAATGGACATGCCTGAAATTATCATCCACTACTGATCACAGATAACTTGCCTTTTGTACAATAGAGAACCATATGCAAGACTTTTACTTTGGACAAGATACACACCCCACACAAAAAAAAAATCACTTTTAATGATTTAAAAGAAAAAAAAAGCTCTGTACAGTTGAAAAGCATCTTATGCAAGCTCTTTTTTTATAACTTTGAATTTACATTTTTTAAATAAAATGTTAAATCATTTGGCGAATAGATCACTGTTTTATATGGCTTTATTTGGTACTGACACGCAAGATAAATATGAAATTTTTAGATGTCAATATTGTTAAGAGATAAAAAAAAAAAGATTTTAAAAAATTGCTTTGGTTTGAAGTTTTTACTAATCCAAGGAAAATTTCGTCAAATAGGCTTTAAATTATCTAAATATTTACAAAATATTTTGAAGTTAAATTATTTAGAATCTGACATGATTTCTTCTAACCTCATATTGGAAATTAAAAAATAACTCTTTGATAAAAATAAAAAAATCCAATAATTTAATAATTATACTTATCTTTTCCAAAAACTTTTATAATTTATAAAAAAAAAAATTTCTATGAATAAGAAATTGTTTTATTTTCAACCTAACTAAAAATGTTCACTTACAAGTGTCATTAATACTGACACTGTTTAGTGTCCACCAATGCTACTATATGAGGCCAGGAAAAAACAATATTGAAGAAGAGTGTGATATTGAAAAATTTGCAAACTTGGACCTTCATATCTACAAAAAAAATGGTGTTTAAAAGGATGATTTCCCTTAACACCACTATTATTTTAACTACCTTCACTCCTTGGCAATGTTTAATGTTTTATAAAGGGATGATCAGAATTGTAATAAAACTTAAACATATGAAAGTGGATCTATACATTTTCTTTGTTTTAGAAAATTAACAAGAAAAATAATAAACACAGTTTATATATTAGATGTTCATTTACACTATTTATTTATTAGATTGTTTATTGGAATGGTTGGCAAAACATCGGCTAATTGAAAACTGATTCAAACTTTATAAAATAGTAAATAATAAGGATTTCCTTATATTTGTTTGAAGGAAAGGAATTAAGGAACTTTATTAAAAGCCAGAAGAAACTGACTACAGTTGATTCACATATTTTAACAACTTAGTAAATGTTCATAAATTTATGAATAAAAACAATCTAAAAAAAATCTTTAGAATGTTATAAATACAAAACTATTCTTGTAAATAAAGAATCTAATAATAAATAGTGTTCAATATTTTTGTTGTAAAGATAAACAATCCCACACCAAAAAAAAAAAAAAAAAAAATTAAATAAAAATGTATAAATTTACTTTCATCCTATGTTTGGTTTTTAATACAATTCTAATGATTGCTTTTTTAAACAATAAATATTACTGAGGAGTGAAGGTACTTAAAATAATAGGGACGTCAGTAGAAAAACTGTGTGTGCATGAAGGTCCAAATTTGCTAAAAACTTATGTAATTTTTTAAGTACTGTTAGTGGATGCTTTGATTATATAGATTATGTTAGTTCAATAATAATGCCAAGTTTGAATACTTGATGTAATACTTTTATTAAACAAATTTAACTAATTTGGAAACAGTTATAGTTGAAAACAATTTAAGGAAAACTAGCTATTCTAAACAAGTACATATTTCTTTTTGTATTTTTATAATACATAATTATATATGCACATAGACTGATGCAAATATATATATATATATATATATATATATATATATATATATTACTTTAAGCATTATTATAGTGGTTACTTCTCATTTGAAAGAGACAGCCAATTTTTATTTTCAAATAGAAGTATGCACTATAACAATATTTGAAGTAAAAAAAATGTCAGATTAAAACTAAATCTATTAATTCTTTAGAATAAATCCATTTAATTGTTTAGAAATTTATATATATATATATATACACACACACACACACACATATTATATATATATACATACATACACACACACACAAGTGCAACTTCAAAAACTAAAATTTTATCTTTTTCCATAATTTAATTAAAAAAAGTGAAACTTTAGTATATACTAGATTCATTATGCATAAAGTGAAATATTTCAAGCGGCTTTTTGTTTTCATTTTGATGATTACAGCTTTCAACTCATAACAAATCCCAAAATCCACTATTTCAAAATATTGGAATATTTCACAAGATCAATTTAACAAGAAAAAATTTATAATACTGAAAAGTTAAACTTCTCAAAAGTATATATATATATATATATATATATATATATATATATATATATATATATATAATACCCATTAATTCTTTAGAAATTGCTTTATGTTTTCTGAGCAGATATGGCTTCTTGAGAAAAATAATCTAAGTGAAGAAAATGTGCTTTCCTTAAATAGGGTAAAAAGAGTCTCGCTTACTGTGAAGTCCTTGGGGCTGAGCAGTTAAGCATATCAGATCAAATCAGATCAAATGGTAGTTTCCCCAACAAAGGGAGAAGCAGGTTTGATTCCTGCTGGAGGATACTTTTTCTTTACTTAGATTTCTTGAAAAGAATATTCAAACCAATATATGTAATACACACTGTTTAAAGTAATGCACACAGTAAAAATAATAAGGTCAGATTAAAATTAAATCCATTAATTAAAAATATTGAATCAATAGTTGCATCTACTGCAAGGAAAGTTGAGTCACCGTGTCATGCCAGAAGGTTTTTCTTGTCAGAGTCCATCTTGCACATTTACAAATCTACCATTTGGCTGTGCATTGAATACTGTTGCCATATCTGGTCTGGTGCTCCTGCTATTCATCTCAATGTTCTTGGCAAAATCCAAAAAAGGATATGCAATGCAATTGATCCTGACTTTCACACTGACATGACATGGCTTCCCTCTGTCTTTTCAACAAATATTTTCATGGCAATTGCTTTGACAAGATTTTTTCCCTGGTGCCTGGACTACATGAATTTAAGTGTGCTGCTAGATTGGCATTGAGGTCCCACCCTTTTACTATTGAAATAGTTAATTGTAACCACCACTTCTACTCCAACAGTTTCTTTGCTTGCATTTCCCACCTGTGGAACTCCCTTCCATTTACTTGCTTCCATGGTAACTACAATCTTCAATGCAACATCAATTGCCATCTTCTATCTTCTTGAATCCTCTTCATTTTTTATCCTTTCCTTACCCCCCCCCCCCAATATCCTGTCATTTTTTTCACTTTCACTGTCTGTAACCCCTGCATACTATTGGGACTCCTGCCCTGCTTGGGGTGAAATGATTAAAAAAAATAAATAAAAAATTGTTAAAAACAATATCATGTCTATTAAATTTGATGGTCTTTTTTTCTGCTGTATGAATATCCTTTTGCAAATCTGGTTGTTGTGTATGTATAAAATGGCCAAAATTCATATTGCGTAGTCCAAGCTTTCAACTCACATGTCATCAATATGAGTATTCATACATTAGGAAAAAGAAAATGATCACCAAATGTAATCGACATAAAATGTCTATTGTTTTTAACAACACATTTTTAAAAGTCTGACAAACTGCATTCCTTGGCTCCGCCAGTGATAATCTTTACCACCAGGACCCACCATGCCACCCACATTGTAGCAAACCACCCACATTCCCTCCATATTCCATTCCATTGGTGAGAAGTAGGTTCCACTCGAGCAGCTTCTTCCCACAAACCACTGCTCTGAGAAAAAGACTCCCAAGAAGATGTTTCCCCCCAATCACTACAATCTTAACCTGTTCAAGTCTAGGGTTATCTTACCCTCTTATCCTCTTATCAACTGCCTCTTACAGTAACCCTCTATCTTGAGTGGCTCCTGGGCTTTGTACAGGGTAAACCACATTGTAAAAAAAAAAAAAAAAAAAAATTTTTAAAAATTAAATTTCTCTCTCCCTCCCTCTTTCTCTATTTATAACATTTTTATTGAACTAAAAAATATTAATTAAAAATTTAAATACATACCATATATATACTCAAGTATAGTAGGAGTTTTTAGGTGGTTGCACTATATACAAGTAATTTTTTTGAAGAGATTAAAAATCATGCATTTTAGGTGACTGCTTGCACTATACACAGGTAATTTTTTTTATGGAGGGGTTAAAATTCATGCAAGCAAATTCAGGGGTCACACTAAGTTGGCTTATACATGAGTATATACAGTAATGCTGTCAAAAGTTTTATATAAAATTTTTTCAGTATAAAACTATAAAAATACTTAGATATTTAATAAAGATGATGTTCAAATAATTCCAGTGAAGTGATTGCCTCCATTTTAACTGAGGCATCTTGGGTAGTTATTTATTATCCTACTTCCCCACTTCTTTAACTCTTCCCATACAAACACAGAAATTTTTGTACATATAATTTAAGCATACACCGGTGTGCACATATTTATTTATACATACATATACATTGTGTGTGTGTGTGTGTGTGTGTGTGTGTGTGTGTATATATATATATATATATATATATATATATATATATATATATATATAAACTATTTGCATCATTACAAATGGACTGTTATATGCATAAGTATCCATACACACACGTACAAAGGAAATTAACACATCATGAACTCCAGTGATTTTCAACTGCACCAGGTTAGTGGGTGTTGTGTTTTTTAACTTCTGTTTTGTCTGTCATGTTAAACCTAATGAAGCAAGCAACCTATACTTTGAAGGAACCAATAACTTGTAATTAATCATTCTCATTGTTTTTATACATTTCCTCACAACACGCTCTGGTCCCCATGAAAAGCAAAGATCAAAGGAATCACCATATTATATACTGATGTATGAAACAAATTTCTAAAATAAAAAAATTGTATTTGTTAAAAAAAAAAAAAAAAAAGAGAAAAATCTTTTTATTTTATTTTTTCTTAATATTTTATGCAACTATGGTTTATACAACATATACAAGGGGGTGCTGAAAATTTCTCAGCTTGACCCACTTTCCAAAATAATTATTCTGATGTTTGGTTATTGGAATACTGAATTTGGAAAGTGGGTCAGGCTGAAAA